GAGAATAGCCTGTCCTGATGTGAAAGGCAACTTGGGTATGATGTCAAAAACTAATCATTTGGCAGTAGTAATATGTAAAGCAATTTAATCCTTCAAACCATATCCACATGGACCTAGAACCATGATTTGAGATAGGACAGTAGCTATCAATATGAAGGCATAGAATAGCCTTTCTTGATGTGAAAGACAATTTGTACATGATGTCAAAAGTAAATGCTGCAGCAATGGCAATATGTAAAATCATGTCAATCCTTTAACCTCATCCCCATAACCTATACAGAGTCAAGGACACTATAAACTATATGTCAACTACAAACTTTTGTAGCCTCAAAAAGCAGACACTACAAACTTTTCTAATGAAAAAGCAGACACTACAAACTTTTGTAGTCTGAAAAGCGGACACTACAAACTTTTCTAATGAAAAGGCACACACTACAAACTTTTGTAGTCTAAAAAAGCGGACACTATAAACTTTTCTAATGAAAAAGCGGACACTACAAAACCTTTTAATGTAACCGTAATTTTGTAGTCTAAGTCCAAGCTTTTGTAGTCTAAGTCTGACTTTTGTAGTCTTTTGTAGTCTATCAGTAAACTTTGTAGCCTATGTCCAACTTTTTTATAGTCTATCAGTAAACTTGGTAGTCTATATCTGACTCTTGTAGTCTGTCAGTGTTGATTGCTCTTTTAGGGAATGCACCTTCCTTTTTTGGTCAATTTTCCCACGATATGATATTTGTTGCCCTTTCATCTAGCTTTCTAAATGTGTTGGAATCATGTTATTTGGTTTTGTTTTCATGAAGAAAAATGCAAAAACCAAAAAAAACACGACACTTTTGGAATTCCTTTACCTCATATCTCCACAACAAGAGCACTTCAGAACATAATTCAACCAGATTCGGGAAGCTACAGTGCAGGGGTACAACTTTCGCTTTTTGACTATTTTTGGTAATTGGTCATGTGACCACCCTCCCAACAACCCATGTGATACATATCATCATTATTATATAGTTTTCGGTAATGAAGTGCCAAAGGGCCTAATGAAATATCCTAATGAAAAATCTAAGAAATAGTAATGAAAGTGCCAGGGAGCCTAATGAGAAGTGATGAAATCGTCAAGGTGCTCAATGAAATATCCTAAAAGAAATGGTAATGAAAGGGCCAGATGCCCCAATGAAATCTCCCAATGAAAAATCTAATGAAATGGTCAAGGAGTGTAATGAAATATCCTAATGAAAGCGCCAAGAAGCATTCTAATGAAAATTCAATGAAATGGTAATGAAAGGGTCAAGGAGCTGAATGAAATATCCCAATGAAAATTCCAAGAAAACCTAATGAAAGTGCCAAGGAGCCTAATGAAATATCCTAATGAGAAATATAAAAAATCGTAATGAAAAAGCGCAGGAGCCTAATGAAATATCCTAATGAAAATTCTATGAAATGGTAATGAAAAAGCAAAGGAGCCTAATGAAATATCCTAATGAAAATTCTACGAAATGGTAATGAAAAAGCACAGGAGCCTAATGAAATATCCTAATGAAAATTCTAAGAAATGTTAATGAAAGTGCCAAGGAGCCTAATGAAATATCCTAATGAAAATTCTATGAAATGGTAATGAAAGTGCCAAGGAGCCTAATGAAATATCCTAATGAAAATTCTATGAAATGGTAATGAAAACGCGAAGCAGCCTAATGAAATATCCTAATGAAAATTCTAAGAAATGATAATGAAAAAGCGCAGGAGCCTAATGAAATATCCTAATGAGAATTCTAAGAAATGATAATGAAAAAGCGCAGGAGCCTAATGAAATATCCTAATGAAAATTCTAAGAAATGGTAATGAAAGTGCCAAGGAGCCTAATGAAATATCCTAATGAAAATTCTATGAAATGGTAATGAAAAAGCGAAGCAGCCTAATGAAATATCCTAATGAAAAGTCTCAGAAATGATAATGAAAGGGCCAAAGAGCCTAATGAAATATCCCCATGATATCTCATTATCCTTGCCTATAACTTATGAAAGATTCCAGTGACAAATTGAATGAAATAGGTGGGCAATCCTAATGAGATGCCTTTCATAAAACCTGTGGCATTATACACAATGGCTCTTGGACAGTTGTCA